AACTCCAAGCTATTCCTACTCCTAATAACAATTTATTATCACTTAAGCTTGATGATTTAAGTGATATTGACATGAATTCACCAATTTTTGACTCTGATCTATTTAATGACTGGGCAGATTTCTTTAGCAATCAAAATACTTATCCGAGTCCTGACTTATCAATAACTTCTAGTAGCAATAGTTCTCCTAGTCCAAATAATTTAAATAATTTTGATTTGCCAATTCAAGTAGATCAACAAGTCAACAATGATCAATACGAACTCGGGATTTTCGATTTCTCTAACGTTAACATTAACGTTAATGAAATTTCCGAAATAAACTCACATAATTTACATGAAATCTTTGATATTCAGAACAATTGCATTTTAGATGACTTGGCCAATTCTAATGGCCAATTGCCTTTTTTGCCTAATTTATTAAATACAACAATAAATCAAAATAATTTAAACGATGCATTAATTGCTTATGAGATAGGTTTTAATTACCCTATCTAAAAAATTTTCTTTAAATTACTTTAATATTCATTAAATTTTCACACATATGTAAATTAAGCTTTATGAATTCCATTTTTATTATGCTATTATGCTTCTTATGAAAATATGCATTATATTAATTCTAAATTCTATACAACAATTATGACATAAACAAGCATTATTTGAAAAACAATTTTAACTGTATATATAGTGATTTAGCATAGCTTATCAATTTTGCATTTTAATTTGTTATAGATTTCTTTATTTACATATTAAAAATAATAAAATTTATAAATTTTGTCTGATTGAAGTTTGTAAAAGTGAAACTTAAGTCTTGGTGATTATTTAATAATTGGCTGAATAGTAATATCTTTGTGTAAATATCTTTGTGTATATTTCACATTTTCCCGTCGGTTTTCAAAAGTTTTAAGCTTATACATATTTTATTATTATTATTATATTATGATTAGTTTTGATTCATCATCGTATATTGCAAAAATATTTGATGTATTGTTATTTTGTGATATTGGACTAGAATTTGAGTTG